TATGTGAATCTAGTGATTTTGCCCAAACAGTTAGATCCTTGAGCAAAGAACATGATACAGAAGGAAAGGGTTGGAATCCATTTGTTGAAGAAAACAGAACAATTAGAGTACTATGTCTATAGCAGGGTAGTGCTGAAGAAGGCCTCTATTCCTAGCACTTGGGAGGCAGAGGCAGTTGAATCTCTGAGTTCGAGGCCAGCCTGGTCTACAGAGTGAGTTTCAGGACAGCCAGGATAACACAGAGAAACCCTGTCTTCAAAAGCAAAAACAACAACCAAGTATGTCTACAAACACAATTTGTCTTTTCATCCCCTGTCCTGAGATATATAATCCTAATTGTGGAGGAGAAGTTTGAAGGAATAGAGGTAAAATAGCCGGGATGAATGAGAAGCAAAGCCAAGTCCTATGGAGACTGAGACTGAGACAATGGGAAGGTCCGGGCTTTGTTGACTGTGGAAGAAGGCAGCACTATCAGAAGAGAGGGCCTGGGAGCATTTGCTGGGAGGGGGTGTTTGCAGATGGCGGTGGGGACATGTGGAGAGGGGAGGCTTGTTTGCAGAGGTAGAAGAGTCTGAGGAGGGTTCAGGGCCAAGAATAATTATGTGTAAAGTAGGAGGGCTTGTTTGCAGTCCATGCACTGAGAAGACCAAAGGTTTAATGGAGAACAAGGGATGTTTGGCAGCTTTTGCATTCTGAAAGGGGACGAGGGGAGAGAAGCAAGTGTTTGTTCCTGAGGCTTCTAATTAGTCCACTCTTCCTCACATTTTGATGGCATGAGGAGAGAGACAGGGAAGACTCTGTGTGCCTATTGTTCTCTCTTATAAAGCACAGGCCCTGTGTTTAAAATAGATTTTTTCAGCGTTTCCCTTCAGTCCTGTCAAAGTATCCCCCAGGCCCTATCAACTGCCATAGGTTGCCAGAGAAATACCCCACGGAACGCCAGTGAGGAATGGCTCTGCTTTTCAGGAACTTCTTAACTGGCCCTGAATTCAATTACATGTCATCAATACACACTTTAATCTTAACAGTGCCAAATCATAAACATCAGGGCTGACAGTTGAGCCTGCCTGTGGACCACCAGGGTGCTGGAGAGCCCTAAATACCAGGCATCAACCACTGTCTGCCAGAAAACACGCAGGAGCAGACCCCTCCCACCTCCCAGCTCCAGAGCTCTGGCAGGACACAGTATGGACTCAAGTCACTCTATTACGGACATTTTGGCCTACACCTTGCAGACTTTTAAAAGTTGGCTTTCCTAGAGTTGCTTCTGTTCACCAATGGTATGGCCCAGTTTCCACTTCTCTGTAGTCACCTCTGCAGTGTTTCTAGGACTAATTCCTGTTGTATCGGGTAATCCTCAGAAGTGCCTATGTCTCTCGTGTATATTGTAGGAATCCTCCAAAGCCACTTATTTGGCCAAAACCTGCTGGATGCTTGCACCTGTCAGCCAGACATTAAGTCCTCTTCTGCATTTGCAGTGCTGCAAGCAATTTGTTTTAAAAAGCTTGGCTTTCTGGGTATGCCTTCTTTAGCTGGAAACGACAATGCACACAGCCCTGGTGATGGCCTTGTTGTAACTTATGATTGAACAGTTACGATCTGAATGAGGTGAGCTTCATTGTCATCTGGAGTGAGTGGAACCGGAGAACTGTTTGAAAGAAACAGTTTAAACCATACTACAGAGAAGCGACTCTCTGAAGAAATGTTTCAGAGCGTTCCTCTAGACTGCTCGCTGAAGCAATTTTATCCTCTGGGGGAAAAGTGCTGTGCTTTTTCTGTACCGTCTTTCAAAAGACTACATCCTGACTTTGTGGCGTTTTTCTGATTGACAATAAGATGAATGTGTGTTTTAGGTGGTAAAATAACAAGAGGTCTGGAAGGATTAAATTTATGGATTGGAAAGTAAATGCAAACGTTTCAACACACATTAGCTTCTTTCCTGTTTAGACTTCCCCAAGTTGTCCTTTCTCTCAGATGGGCACCAGATGCATTCCTTCCGGCTCACAGGCCTTCTGTGGCTGTGTATGGAGGAGTGCGTGTAACCATCACATCCTTTGGGTCTGTTTTGCTTTCCCAATAACACAATGCAGGGATCTCAGAATTTCACTGAGACCTCATCTTTGTTCACATAGAGTGTTCAGGAAACTCCTAATAAACACAGCAGCATTGAGCATAAAGATGGCTGTAAACCCAGGATTTTCTTCAGCTCTTTTCTAATGTGTTTGCTACCTCTCATTTCTCTTGCTTAGGCTTTTTTGGTCGGGGGTGGGGGAGGTGGGGACAGTCCTTGCAGTCATTGTCTTTTCTGCTTTCCTCAAACCCAACTGTGGTCTCTGATACATTCTGCCTGCAGTCGTGTCCTCCAGTGCTTGGGGAATTAATCAACACATTCCCTCTTGGATCTCTACCTCTACCTCTGAGGCTCTTGTCCATGCCCTACTCCCCATTTTAAGTGCATTACTGGTTACTGACCTGCATTTCCTACTCATTTCCTATTTCCAGGCCTCTCCTCATGGTGTCACACCTCACATGAAGAACGCCCTGGAAGTAGGAAAGGAGAGAGGTGTCTGTGGCTATGGATGTCTCTCATGGAGCTAGAAAGAACATCTGTCGGGCATATTTCCTTTAGTGTTGAGTTGGTATTCAGGATTAAGAGATACTAAGTACAGGTAATCATACATACATTCAGCTAGGCACACAAACTCAGTTTCAAGAAAAATGAATGAATTCCATATCTGATGACATATCTTCAAAAGTAGTGTGTTTGTTATTTTTCATTGCCTTGCCAAAATACCTGGCAAGAATCCACTTAAGGAAGGATGGGTGTGTTCGGCTTGCCATTTGAGGGGATACAGTCCAGCAGGGTAAGGAAAGCATGGCAGGAGGAATGAGAAACTGCTGGTCACATTCGTCTGTAGTTAGGAAGCAGTAACACAGAAATGGGGCACCCAAAACCCTTCCCACAGGATCTTCTTCCCTACTGCCTGAAGGCCTGAAGGCCAAGCAGAGCCACTCCTGGTGACCGAGTGTTCAAACACAAGAATCTGATCGTGTTAAAAACAAGATGGGGCCAGGCAGTGACCACACACACCTTTAATCCTAGCAGGAGTCAGAGGCAGGTGGATCTCTGTGAGTTTGAGGTCAGTCTGGTTCACAAAGCGAATTCCAGAACAGCCAGGACTGTTACACAGAGAAACCCTATCTTCAAAAACAAAAACAATTCAAGAAATGTCTCAAAACAGACTGGTGCTGCCTTCAAGGTTGGAATTGGAAGTAACTGACAAGGGCATTGTCTGGGGACGATAGGCACTGGCCACAGGCAATGAAGGACTTGGTAAGAGCCAGGCAGCAGGAACAATATTTTAGGTATAACTTTAATACTTTATGAGATTTTTTTTTGCTGCTCTTTATAAATACACAATTTTAGGGTTGGGGAGATGGCTCAGCAGTTAGAGCACTGGATACTCTTCCAGGGATCCTGAGTCCAAGTCTCAGCAACCACACAGTAGCCCATAACCATCTGTAGTGAGATCTGGTGCCCTCTTCTGGCATGCAAGCATACATGTAGGCAAAATACTGTATAAAATAACTCTTAAAAAATACCCCATTTCAGCATATATCCACACAGAGCTTTGGAGGATAGTGAATCTAAGGCAGTGTTTCTTGGGGGGAAGACGGTAGCTCTGAATAGGCAATTCCAGGCACCACCTGGAAGTAAGCAGGGAAATTTTCCTGACCCCAGCCTTTGGGTAAGAAGTTCCATGCTGAGTTGCTTGTGTTTGCCCAGGGAATGTGAGGCAAAGCAAAGGGAATGAAGTCTTCCTCCTATGGCACGAGAGTGAGCAGTGGGCCTGATTGAAAAATGTTTTGAGTTTTTTGCCTATACAACAACGGGAGTTAGCAGTGCCCATAAGATAAAAATTCTAGACATAATCCTTTTCCACAAACATTAGTGTCCAAGGTTCCTGAGGGCTGGAGGAAAGCCTTAGCCCTGTATGTGCTTACTAACATCACAATGCATTGTTCCTTTGTTAATGTCTAAAATAGTTTCTGTCACTTAGAAATATAAGCCTTTTCAATTTCAGTGATAGTTTTAATTCAAGGGTACTTTCATAGATTAAAAGTTTAGGCCAATGCTTGCATCTAAGATCCAGAACATATACTTATTTTTGAAAAGAAAATATTTACTCAAGGAAGATAGTATCCTACTTTGTCCTTTGAGTGATGAGTAGAGTTTGGTTGGTAGACCAGAAGATGAAAAGTGTTTCTGTTAGAGAAAAGGGCTCGATGCCAAGGATAAACACAACACATTTAGGGTACAAAGGAAACTTGAAGAGTAGAGATTAAAAGTGTGTACCACTACCACCTAGCTTTTATAGCTAACTAGTATGGCTGCTGGGATTAGAGGTGTGTATCACACTGAGCGACCTCTGTAGCTTGTGGCTGGCTTTGCATCCTGAACCCTCAGGCAAGCTTTATTAAATCATAAATAATATATCCCCGCCATTCTTCTTTTTTGTCTAATATAAAAAGAATAAGGCTACAACTAACATAAGAAAAACTATATATAACAAGTTTATATAACATATACAGGCAATAACCACATTCTTGCTCCAAAAGAACCACGCTTTAGCCCTCACATGATGGATCAGTGTGTAACATATACCTTCTGTCAAGATGCGGATTTTGTTTCTTCAGGACTGAGCTGGTAATGAGTCTAGCAGAAACATCTAAAGGAAAAGCTATTGAATGTTGTTAGACCTATGAAAAACATTCAGGAAGCGGGTGATTTTCCAAAGACGAGAGCACTGAGGGAAAAATTGCCACCATTCCATACCAGCCTAAGCCTGAACCACCATTGCACTAGGGTTTTGTTTCCCTCAGACACTATTGTTGTTATCTTGAGTGACATATATCCCTGATGAGTAGCCCTTATTCAGCTTCTAGTACAGTTTCATATTTTTTTTTCATTTAAAACTTTCTCCCTTTCCCCTTTACAGGGTCCAGCAATATTATGGCAGAAGATAGCCACATGCAGAAGCAGCTGGAACTACAAAATGGTAGCTTAGAAGAAGGATTTGTGGTACAGTCCCAAGAGACCGAGCCCCAGAAGATGATGGAGAGCCTAAGCCCAAGGAAATATTCATCCAGTCTGAAGTTTAAAACCAATGGGGACTATTCTGGCTCATATTTAACCCTCTCACAGCCTGTGTCTACCAAGAGAAGCTCTGCTCCCTTGGGCCCCAGTATCAGGAGCAGCCCCTCCTTGGCCAAACTCCAGGGAAGCAAACAGTTTTGTGATGGAACCGAAAGAACCATTTCCATGAAACCTCCTATTTCGCTCCTCAGCTCTGCATCTTCCCTTGGTGGTTATCCACTCGGGAGAGCAGATTTGGATCAATATGCGGGTCGGGACAGTGAGAGGTCCTCCAGGCTCTCCGAGAAGCCTCCCTATTCCAGATACAGCTCTAGGAATAAATCACATGACAACGTCTACTTTCTTGGGGGACTGGAAGGAAGAAAAGCCTCTGGCTCACTCCTGGCCATGTGGAATGGAGGATCCTCCAGTGGTGCTGGCTTCGCACCCCCCAGCAGATCTGGGGCAGCGAGCATGCCTTCAAGCCCAAAGCAAGCTAGGAAAATGAACCTACAGGACAACTTGACACTTCAGCCCAGGTTAAGCAGGCACAAGGAGCCAGCCTCTGAGAACATCAGTGTAAGAACGAGGAAGTATTCGGGGAGCAGCCTGAATAATATGAGTGTCTACAGCCGATCACTTCCCAGGTTGTATAAAGCCACAGACAGCCAGATGTCGCCTCTCAGCTTGCCTCCAAGAAATTCCCTGGGCAATACCAAACGAGGTCAGTTAGGGGAAAGGGATCTACCTCATAGCATAGTGGACAATGACAATTACCTTAACTTTTCTTCTCTAAGCTCAGGGGCTTCACCCTATAAAACCTCTCTGTCAGAGGGAAATCCTTATGTAAGCTCCACCCTTAGCGTCCCTGCCAGCCCTCGAGTGGCTAGGAAGATGCTCCTGGCCTCCACCTCCTCAGATGACTTTGATAGGGCTTCCTACTCAGGGACCAGCCCAAGTCATTCCTTCATTTCCGGAGAACCAGACCGAGTGCTCATGTCCAGGAGGAACTTCTCTTGTGGATCTATGGAGTTTGATGATTCTGATCTGGAAAGTCTACGACAGTCCTCAGAGACTCCCCAGCCTGTTCTTCGAGAACGGAAGAGTAGCATCAGCTCCATCTCTGGCCGTGACAGTCTGATGGATTATCACCGACGACAGAGAGAGGAGAGACTTAGGGAGCAGGAGATGGAGCGCCTGGTAATCTTCCTCTTCTAACCTTACTCTTCACCTGGCTTGCATCCACAGGGTTGGAGACAGGCTCCAAGGGTGTAGGTAGGGGTATGGAATTTCCATGTGGACCAGCCAGCCGCTGCTGTCCATTCCATCTCTTGCTTTCTGTCCCATGTAACTCTTTCTTGTACTACATCCCACACCTATGGGCATTTTGAAGATCCCAAAGCTCACCAGAGCTGGAGCCTCATGTTTATTTAGTTGTTGTGCAGAATTCTAACAGTTTCTTCTCTCTCTCATCATCTTTCTTTCTTTCTTTCTTTTTTCTTTTTTCCTTTTTCTTTTTCATGTGCTAGGGATGGAATGCAAGGACTTGCACAACCATTAGAAATTCTGGGAGAAGCTAATGTCTAGTTGGGAATTTTGCTGAAATGATAGTGGTACTTATGGCATTAAACTCACTGGTAATGTACTTGAGACAGAAGTAGTCAGTGAGGCAATAAGGCAAGAATTTGTACAGCAAGTCATCTAGAATGGCGAAGGGTTTCCCCAGTCTCCACAATGCTCAGGTTTTCCCAACGCTGTTCACATAACCAGTCTCTCTTCAGCTATGCCCTCACTTCATACGGCATCACCTGAAAACACAAAACACACTGAGCTCACTCTCTTTTTCAATTTAAAATGAGTTTATGCTTAAAGTGAAAACATACTGAAAGTAAAAGAACAGCCATGGAAGGAAAGTCCCTCAACAGCCCCACTGATGAAGGAGTACATTCAAGGGTTAATTTTCCATTCTCTTTTAGTGGGTTATTTTAAAATGAGTTCATGTCAGAGACTGTTTTGCTTCTCTAGTGATTAATGACCTCCTTAATGAGAGAAAGTTATGATGGCATGGCAAAGCTGGTTTGCAAAAGTGTGAGGTTATCAGAAGTGTTTAATTGCTCAAAAGGGCATGTTGGAATAAGGTCTCTCAGTCACATGGAAATTACAAGAAAATGTGCATTATATGGACAGAAATCATCTACACTATGAAACATTTGTTTGACATTTCAGAACAAGAATCACATGTCACTCAAAGTTTTGGTAAGTTCATGTTCTTCCTAACTAAGAGTCGTGGATAAAAACACATATGCATACCCCTAGATAATTAAGTATTCATTGTGTATATCAGTTACACAGCACTCCAATATGACATTCCCTTTGTTGTCATAAATCATCACTAGATGATCACAACAAAGCATTGTGTCTAGGCTTGATCAATTGCCATAATTCAGAAACCCATTCAGTTAGCAAATAGATTCTTAGCACAGCCACTACTGTGCTAAGCAACTATTACTAATGAAGTCAGAGAATTAACTTTGGTAATTTACTATGGAATCTAGAAGTGCCTTTCCTGTGAATTTTATTCACTCTAGAGATCTTCCTTTAGTCTACATAATAACTCTTATATCATGAGATGGAAAATCAACCAGGAGCTTCGTTTGCTTTGAATGTCATGTAGCATATGTAAGTGCTGGTGAATTTCTCTGCCCTCCAGATTCTCCAAACCTAAGGCTCCTGGAAGTCCCAGTAGTGACTTTACTTGTTGCTTGCAAGGCTGGAACTCAATAAATCATGAACAAGATAAACTTCTTGATAATATTGTTAGGAATATTACTGGTAATCCCTTTTCCTTAATAATGCCTTGTTATCTTGTACAAAATGAGACTTATCTATTGCAAGTGACCTCACTGAATGCTCTTTCTATTACAAAATACATGAGATAAACACGTTATAAAGAAGCCGTGTCATTTTGACTTACAGTTTTGGATTCAGTTGCCCCATTGCTTCTGGGCAATGCCTCATGGCAGGGAGTATGTGGTGGAGCAAAGCTGTCCATCTCCTGGACAGGATGTGATGAAAAAGACACCAGGGTCCCCCAATCTCCTAGTGACACACTCCCAACAGTTAGAAGTTCTCTCTCTAGGTTCTATCTTTGAATTTCCATCAGTCCCAATCACTTTAAACACATGGACCTTTGGGATGCTTAAAATTGATTCTTTTGTATACTATAGGAAAATAAATAAATAAAAACTTTGCAAGGCTTTAATCCCAGCACTTGGAAGTCAGAGGCAGGCGGGTCTCAGTGAGTTTGAGGATAGCCAGGACTGTTATACAGAGAAAACTCAGTCCCCTGTCTCAAAGCAACAAAACAAAACCAAAACCAAACAAAGCATTAGCTCATTCCGAAATGGTATAATTTTGTCTTTTTAACTATATAAATGTAGATCTCCATTAGCATTAAGCCTGAAAATTACTTTTTATGGTACTAAAATTTTGTTCCAAAGGCTTTAGATGGAACATATTTTTATTGCTTTTTGTAAGCATCAGGTGAACTTCTTCAAAACCAGTCTCATTCCAGTGCGAACAACTGAATTTGAGTTTTACATCAATAGTGTATTTGTCATTCTTTACATTGGAAAAAAAAAAAACACCTTATGAGTAAACCATAAAAATATTTCAACTTTGGGCTGAAGAGATGGTTCAGTGAGTAAGAGCCGCTATTCTGTAAACATGAGAATGTAAGCTCAAATCTCCAGCACCAATGTAAAAGCTAGGCATATCTTTCCATGCTGTAACCCTAGCACAGGGAGACAGAGACAGGTACTGAGAACTCACTGGCTATCTAGCTGAAATGGTGAGTTTCCAGTTCAATGAGAGATGTTATCTCATCAAAGAGGCAAAAAAAAAAAAAAAAAAAAAAAAAAAAAACTATTGAAGAATACACTTAACAGCTTTCTCTGACTTCCATATACATGTACATGCTTGAATATAACCACTCATATCATACACACATACTCAGCGTACACATATGTATACCACACATATACACACTGTACACCACATTCACGATAGTATACTTTCTGCCAAATGTTAACATTGTATCACTTTTCTTTTAAGTTATTATTATTATATGCATGGTGGGTATGCATGTGTGTACATGTGCCATGGTGTGGTGTGTGTATGTGTAGATCAGGAGACAAGTTTGTGGAGTTGGTTCTTTCCTTCCATTTTTATGTGTTCCAGGGATCTAATTTGGGTCACCCAGGTTTGCAACCAGTGCCTGTACCTGCTGAGCCATCTTGCTGGCTCTGTATTACTTTTTTCATAGACAGAATTTTCAGGTATTAAAAACCAATGGAACCAAGATTTGTACTTCAAACATACAATTTTCAGTTTCTATTCACTTCTGATCTTTATTACCTTCTTTCAAGTTCTGGAACAACCCGGTCATAAAACCAAAAATATTTCACTGAAACATGCTAGATTATAGTGCATAGAGATTAAATAGACAGAGATTAAAGTTTTATATAACATAGGCTTGCCTGGAAGTCCACGTGTAGCCAAAGCTTCTCCCTCACAACTGCTAGGGTTATAGGCACACACAGGCCTGTCCTTGACTGTCTACCTCACTTTCCAACAGAAAAACAATGCTGTGGAGTCATCAGTTTGGGTGGGAAAGAAAGGGCTTTTGCTTAAGATAGAAGGCTGAAGTGTCAGAAGTTGACTTTGTTTTCTTGGAATTTGGGGGAATATTGAATTTATTTAAGTGCTCTTTCATCTCGATAAGCCAACCCGAACAGCAGGCCCCTGGAGTCTATTTTATTGTTGTCCTTGAGAGACAGGAACATGTTTCCCCTCCACACCGTGATTTCTTTTTTTCTCAAGGACTTAGCATGAATTCTCTTTCTTCAACCACAAGCCCCAAGTAGACAACAAAACACAAATGCCTCTCCTTTAAGGCCCACTGTTTTTTTTTTTTAATTGACATAAAAATGTATTCTTGGTTAGATACAAACAAATTATAGATTATAACAACTACAAAGAAATACTCTGCCATCTCTCACCTGTCCAGGCTGGATTTCAGGCTTAAGTGATGGACAATCAATGGCCAGAGCAAAAACCAGAAGCCTGAAGATTGCTACCACTGGTGGGGACAGCTGTGTGCAGACCTAGCCTGTTGCCTATCAGATTTATTTAAAAAGCAGGAAAAATAATCAATAGTAGAGAACCAGGAAAACAAAACTTCACAGTCATTGAAGGCAACATTTACCGACTTACGAATTTATTTCAGAAGTCGAGAAAAGATAGGCCTGCCCTACCAGCAGGTGTGATGAGCTTGCTCCATGGGCACTGAGGGTCATTTAACTCCCAGAGTGAATCCACCTGAACATGGCAGTTTCAGAGAGCAAACACACAGTGATATGGCTGTAGAATGGGTAAACACTGAAGAGTTATTTAACCCACTGATGTGCAAACCATGCATCAGAAAGTGGGGTTGCAATTATAATATCTAATATTTTTAACTTAGTTGTGTTTTTTTTTCTAACTTGTTCAATTTTTGTTGAAAACCCAAGATAATTAAAGTTATCATTAAAGAGGAAACTATAATTATGAACCTCTGAGGGCCTATATTAAGTAGCTTCCATCTGTCATGTTAATTTGAAAAATTTCTATTTTAACATTTTTTTTGTCCATAGTTTTTGTTGTTGTTGTTGTTCTTAGCTACCTATTCATTTCAGTCATTATTCTTGCCCTTGTCTATAGGTCCCCTCCTCCACTGTGTGACTTTTTTTAGAAACAAGAAGTAGGGCTTTGTTTAAACTGTTTTGACCTGTGTGCGTGTGAGGGCTTGGGATGGTGCTGTTCTCACCAAGTATGTATGTGTGAGTCTGTGGAACTGGTTGGTAGGCATTTCAATTCTCTCATTCTGAGCTGAGATGCTGACTGACTAATAAGATGTTCTACAGACTAGAGAAACCACGATAAAGTAATCAGGCTTCATCTGTTTGATATCTAAGTATTTCCCAGTCATACAGCTGTAGTGATGGCCCCTTATGGCCCAGGTATTTTAAATAAGCGAAAATTAAAAACTTAAACTTAACTCTCTCTCAAATAAGTGCATTATTTGGCAACATTGCCAAAAGCATCTGCATTCTATTGTGGGAAATCAGTGGATTCCACAAATTGCACTGTGGCTGTGCAGT